CCTCGATCATATAAACATACTCTTAGACATTAGAATTATAATTCCAAGTGGTTTAGAAGCGGAGATATAGATAAACATAGGTTTTATTAGGCGGCCATTTTGAAATCCAAGATGGCCGCCATAATGACTTTGGATGAGGTGGTTCCTACCAAAAATTGAATGCTATGACCATAAGGAGCATGTAAAAAAAATTTGGTGCTTTTGTCCGGAACGTCCACATTAAGTCCAAATATGGCCCTAAGCTGCCGTACTATAGATTATAATCTGTATATCAAATTAGAAAAAAAAAAGAAACTTGGATGTTTAAATATTCAAAACTCTATATATAGATCGGAACCATATGAGTTTAATATCCACTGTACACAAGACATTTGTTATACAATTTGTTTTCCATTTCTTATCGTTCGGTGTATTTTATTTGTGCCAAGTTTTCACAGACGTTTTAAACGTATTTATGGCAAGTTAATTTTAGGCGTATTAAATTTATGGCACCATAATTTTTTTATTTTTTTTATTAGCCATATTGAAACATACTGAGGTGGAAGAAATATTAAAAGGGCCTTTATTTCATGATAATGATGACGATTACGACGACGACGATAATGATGATGTAAACTATATAATGATGACCATTTTAAGGATCGTGACCCATTTAACACCTAAAATCCAACAATTGTGGACCCACTTTTAAAAAGTGGACCTATTTCGTGCATATACCCTTATTAATGTGGATCATAAACCAGGACCATTTCACACCTTTAATATGTATAAAATCAACTAAAGTTGACACATCGTTAAAATGTGGACCCATTTTATGGGTATAAACTTTATAACCTGCCCATTTTAAAAATTGAGACCCATTTTACACATAAAGTCGAAATAATTGGACCCATCTAACTATTATTGTGTGAACCCAATTAAAAAAAAATATATATTTTAAGCATCTTTCAAATTTTATCCATTTTATTTAACTATATTGGACTCGTATTTTTAAATGTGGACCTACTTTATGCATATAAACCTAATAGTGTGGACAAATCTGGAACCAATTTTACACATACAATCCAATTAAGGTGGACATTTAAAAAAAATGGACACATTTATATCATTTTACCTATATTATTTATAAAGATCTAATGTAGACCCATCTTTTAAAAGATAACACATTTCATACATATGATATACAATACAATAATTTGTCCTCATAAATTAAAACAAAATTGGGACAGTAATCGGCAAGTCTAAACTTCTCGCTAGTTACGCCATGGGTTAACGTACACCTGGCGTATATCTCAAGACTGAAAATAGACAGTCTACCAAAAAATGCTGATTTGAAACATCAAATTTGAACATAATTGCAACAAAACGCTTTTTTCCCCCACGAATATATACAGTTAAATTTTATCACTACAAAATACACAAACGGGAAAGGTAATTTTTATAGCAAAGAAACTGAACTATTTCACTATGCTGCTATGGTCTGGATTCTTCAAAGTGCACATGAGACAATTGTGTGCCCTGGACGGTTTATAGTCCTTATCCAAAACGATTTGTTCCATCACCAGAACCACAGGCAAACGTGCTTTTTGAACCAGCGCCGATATTATGACTGTAGGTTGCGCTGCCCCTGACTCACCCGCTCGGCCATTCGACTCGCGTACCTGTTGCGTAACAGAGGAACAGACTGTAGAAGGTAAATTTAAGCAATCAGAAGTATGAGCAAATCAAATTAAAGCGCTTTGTAAACAGTTTCTTTAATTTGATTTGCAGCTCATGTGTACTTTGAAGAACCCAATACATCTTTTGAGACGAGTAGGGGTTACTCCAGTCTACAGCCCCTGTCATATGAGCTTATGGACCATTAGGTCCTTTGCAGGATGTATCTACGTAAACGTACGGACGGACACAAGTTCGTACATCAAGTCCTTTAATGTAAACACAGTGAAACTGAAATTGTGTTTTGAAAACTGCACTATTAAATGTTGGATAGTAGTCTAAATATTCCGAAACAAAGATTTTTCATCAATATATAGACATTTACGGAAGCCCGTTAGTGTCAACAATGAATACAAATTTCAAATCAGTTAAATGGCGGCCGCAGGATAATTATCCGGCGGCCGCCACATAATTATCTGGCGGCCGTTACTTAATTATCTGGCCTCCGCCACATAATTATCTGGCGGTCGCCACATAATTATCTGGCGGCCGCCACATAATTATCTGGCAGCCGCCACTTATTTATTGGTACCCAGGTTGCGGTGTACAGCATTATCTCGATGTAGAACGGGCCATTAAAGCGCATGATCGTAATTAGGCCTAGCTAGTCATTTTAGCTACAGCTTGTCATAGCTTATAATAGCAGTCATATAGCCATTTTACAAAATATATCTATATCTTTACTGTAGCACATCAAATGTCCTACATTTGCTGTTTATATCATTGTGATATTGTCTGTTACAGCTAAGTTAAATATTAAAGGACATTAAGTGATTAAAAGCACACTAGTAGCTGGTCACCAGCTATACCTTATAATGACAGTCATATAGCACAAATTAAAAAAAATATTAGCAATTACAGGGATAAGTATTAATAAAATAAAGCATTAAATACGGTAGTGTTTAAAAGCATGGTAGCTGGTCACTATCTAGCTATAAT